CAGCCTATTCAACTTCTCTGCTTTTATCTTTAATAGACATCTCAAACTTAACATGTCCAAAACTCAACTTCTGGTCTTACCCTCAAACTGCTCCTCCTGCAGCCTTCCCCAATCCCACCAATGCTGACTCCATCCTTTCAGTTGGTAGGCTGAAACTCTGATTATTCCCTTTCTCTGACATCCACATCCAATTCATCCAGAAATCTTATAGTTGTACATAGAAAATATACCTAGAATCTATCCACTTTTCAGCACAACATTGCTACCACCCTGAATCTGATCACCATCATCTTCTCCCTGGATATTGCAACAGCCTCTAACAGGTCTTCCAGCCCACTACCATGTCTACTTAACACAGGAGCTAGACTGCGCCTTTTAAAACTTGAGTCTGGGAGCCACCACAAGCTTGGCAGTAAAAGTCCCTTGCAACTTCTGACCATTGAAAGAACACAGAGGTGACCAGAAAGGAGGAGGAGATGGCACGGTTATCTGGGGTCTAGAAGATGATGAAGACATGACACTTGCAAGATGGACAGAGATGATAATTGGGCCTCTGAGAACAATTTAAGAAAATCTAATATATGGCCTTAAAATAGAATGTGGACGTAAATACCCAGAAGTACCCACCTTTTGTAAGATTTGTAACAAAAATTAATATGAATAAAGTTAATAGTTCTAATGGAGTGGAGACCCAGGAGCCATATTAGGGCTAGCAAAATGGCAGTATTCCTATAGCATTAAAGTTGTCCTGCAAGAGCTTTGGTGCCTAATGATGTCTAAAAACATAGGAAACTCCTTCAGCCACCTGAAAGATGGTGTTACAGCAGTTAATCTAAAAGAAAAACCACGGGCCTTTCTCCTTCCCTCCCACTTAATATAAATGGTCTTCATTTTCCATGGTAGTAAATTTTCTAGATATGTCTTATAGACCTCAAAGTACTGGAAAGGACGCTCCCATTCAAAGGCAATTTATCTTAAGGTACTGCAAATGATACTAGTTTTTTTGTCCATTTGAAATATATAAGTTGTGCTATAACAACAATAAAAAAACTTAAGTCAGATCATGTTCCTTTGCTGCTCCAAACCCTCTCAAGAAGAGTAAAAATGTCAAAGTTCTTACAATGGCCTTTACGACTCCACTGGATGTGCCCATCTGTCGCATGTCAGATCTCTTCCACAGCTACTCTCCCCCTTGCTTATCAGCTCCAGCCACACCAGCCATCCCTCTGTTCCTTGAGCACCCAAGCACGTCCCTGGCTTAGGCCTACCCAGGCTGTGCTCTCTGCCTAGACTACTCTTTTCCCAGAAATTCATACAGCTTACCCCTCACCTCTTTCATGTCTTTACTCAAATGTTACCTGCTCTGCAAGGCACAGCCTGACTATCCTATTTAAAATTATAATCCTTATTTCCCTACAAACATCCAGCACTCCTGATTCCTCTTACCTTGCTTTACTTTTTATTTTTCATAGCATTTATCATCTTAAAACTTAAGATATTTAAAACTTATTTATTATGTGTATTAATTACAGTATCTCCCCCACCCCCAGAATGTAAGCTCCACTAGGGAAGTAATCTTTGTCTGCTTACTGGTGGATATATCCCAAGCATCTAAAGCAATACCTGGCATATGGTAGGCACTCGATAAATATTTGTTGAATTACGAATGGATGAATGAATGCAGGGGTTTATCAAATAGTGGGAATTCACTGCTAGTCTTCATTCATGTATCCATTCATCAACAATTTTATCAATTACCAAGTACCTATTCTATATTCAGTATGTATCTGTACTCCATCTTCCTGTTAGACTTTCTGACAATTAAAATCTGGAATTATATTTGATATAGTAATCTACAGAGATAAAACTATTGGTATGTAAAGGACCTAAATTAAGAGATCAACTAGGTCAGTGCTGTCCCACAGAGCTTTCTGTGATGCTAGAAATGGTCTCATCTGTGATATCTGTTAAGTAGCCACTAGTCACATGGAGCTAGTGAACACTTGAAATGCAGCTAGTAGGATTGAAGAACTGAATTTCTATTTTATTTTATGTTATGTTAATTAGTTTAAATTTAAATAGCCACATGTAGCTAGTGATTACTGTACTGGACAGCACAGCTCTAGTTCATCTCTCTGCCTCTACCTACGGCTTTTCCTAAGATACCCAAGGCAGGTTGTTAACTATACCACTATGTTTCTCAGAAAAGATGATTAACAGCTAGTTACTGTTTCCTATTAACTATGCTTTCCGTGGTTCATGAATATGTCTTCTTTTAGAATTATTGTTACTTTGTCAGCAGAGGTAAAGCTTTTATATTATCTCAACCAATTATAAAATATGAAACCTTCAAAATTTACCCTCTAAATCCAACAACATACTTTACATATTTCAATACTTGCATAATATAATTTCTTTGACTTTTTCACTTAGTTTTCCAACTTTATTGAGGTATAGTTGATATACAAGAAACTATGCATATTTCGAGTGAATAATTTGATGAGTTTTGATATAGGCACATGCCTATGGAACCGTCATTATACATAATGGTATTTCAAAGCTCAGATGACCAGGGCCACTGTTGACCCACAGGACATCCTTGTGTAAATTTAAAAAAAGGGCCCTTCCTGCCTGGTGGTTGCTTTTCTCTGTGAGGACACACAGCAAGGTGAGAAATAGTGAGCTCGATCTCAGTGCTCACCTGCCTCCTCAGCCGGATGCCTTCCTACAGTGAACAACATACTCAATCATCAATGGCAGTCCTGCAAACTGGTCTGTTAAACTCATTTTCAAAATGTCCTCCCAGGGTGTTGAAGGTTACACTCTGGTTTCCATTTCAAGGTGGTAGAATGAAAATAGATTGTAGTCTCCTCTTCCCCTGGAAACCACTGAATTTTTAGAAAGGAGTTTTTTTGAAATTCATATAATCGGAGAACATTATCAAGCTTTGGAGGACCATGAACTTTGAGAAGACACTGGAAGTCAGAAAGTAAATGATGTTATAAGGATGATTTAAAACCACAAATCAAAAAAAGAATAGGAAAGTGCTGCAAAAAGTGTTGGGAATGGAATCAAAGGACAGGAGGGCAGGGGACAACAGACAGTGTGATTATTAGAGGACAGCAGCAGGAACAGCAAGGTTGAACCATGAACTTTCCCTCCACCAACATAGGCTACATTGTGAATCAAAGAGCAGCAACAGGAGTTGTCTCCAGCTGAGAGCTATGAACGTGGAAGCTTGAGTTAGAGAAACAAAGTGGCATCCTGAATGCCCTGGATGCCCTGGATGGTTGGAACCACCTATAGGAATGAGACAACTCCTCTCCCACCAGAAGCTTGGGCCTCTTAGATACCCTGCCCAGTGGCATTCTCATCCTTCCTATACACTCTCTCTTTTTTTTTTTTCTTTTTTTGCAAATCTGAAGAATGGCTTAAGTGTATTTTTTTTATGTCAGAATATTAATTAAGAGTTTACAAGGGTGTCTGTTACATGGATATCCCATATAATGCTTAACTCAGGGCTATTGGTGTGCCCCTCCCATACATTCTCGAAACAGACTGAAATACAAGTTGTGGCAGCAAACCCTGCCCCTCCCTCTAAGCAGCCTGCGGAGGCACATAGAACAGAGAGCCTAATAAGGAGTCTCAGCTACAAGGATGAACATTCAGGAATCACTCAGCATTGGAGGAAAGCCAATACTATTAAAAAGAGATATAACAGAGTTCTTCGTTTTTAAAACATGAAGAACTTATACCTGGGAACCAAAATTAATATAGAAGTTAGAATAGGACTTTAGAATAATTACAACTCATATCCACAGAAATATTTGAGGGAATATTAAATCCATAGAAAATAGTCAATTAGAAAGTACAGTTATTAAAATTTTTATCTTTTAAATACTCAATAAGTAGGTCAAATAACAGAATGAACACAAAGAGCAAATTGCTTGACTGTAATATTAAGCCAAAAATTTCTTCTAGAATGCAATAAAAAGTGATGAAAGGATATAAAGTATAAAATAAAAATTAAGAATCATGTAAAATAAAGCCAAGTATTCCATCATCCACCTAATTGGAATTACTAAAAGAGATATTAGCGGGAATAGAAAGAAACTAATATATACATTAGTCACTGTTTAAGGACCAACCAAGTTCTGAGTAAGATAAATTTAAATAAAAATCCACAGCTAGATATTATATTAACATTTTAGAAAACTAAGAATAAAGGATAGAAATGCTAAAATCTTGGGAAAGAAAAATAGAATCTCCTACAGAATCTCTTTGATAACTCTTTGATGAATGAAATAAAAGGAACAAGAAAAAAAAAACGTTAAGCCTGTCATTTGATACCCAACCAAACTATCATTCAAGTATGAAGATAAAACATGAAGAAACTAGAAAGTTTACCACCTACAATAATTCTTTGATATAATTGTGTCAGCCAAAATAAAAATAAATATAGTAATAAGGAAGTTCTAAGAAGCCATAGTGAACAAAAAATCCATTAAATTACATTATTAACCCTAGATAAGTGTTGATTTTTTAAACAACAGTAATTTTTAAAATAACAATATAGAACTAGAATTCTAAATTATGTCAATATGGGGGGAATTGGAATGGGATGGAATTGCAGCATATAAAGATTTTGGTTTTGTTTAATGAACATAGAGACACTGATTAATTCTGGATATTAATAGAAAATATATTTAGTTATATGTGCTAAAAATTGAATAGGATTTACTAGAAAAACACAAATACAATTTATGATTTTTACGCTATCAGAAAAAAGTAGAAGAAAATTAAATCAATACAACAAAGGTGCAGAAAACTTGAAATAATATTCAGATATATAACCCCCCCCAACCAAAAAAATTATCAGGTCTACAAAATTTTATAGGCAACTTTTACCAACTCTTTAAAAAAATGGAAATTTATATTTTAAACAAACAAGCATGGAAAAATATGAGAAGCCACCAAGCCTCTTAAGAATGTGCCATAGGGAGCCGCCATCTTCCAGTAATTTGCCAAAATGACGAACACAAAGGGAAAGAGGAGAGGCACGCGATACATGTTCTCTAGGCCTTTTAGAAAACATGGAGTTGTTCCTTTGGCCACATACATGCGAATCTACAAGAAAGGTGATATTGTGGACATCAAGGGAATGGGTACTGTTCAAAAAGGCATGCCCCACAAATGTTACCATGGCAAAACTGGAAGAGTCTATAATGTTACCCAGCATGCTGTTGGAATTGTTGTAAACAAACAAGTTAAGGGCAAGATTCTTGCCAAGAGGATTAATGTGCGTATTGAACACATTAAGCACTCTAAGAGCCGAGACAGCTTCCTGAAACATGTGAAGGAAAATGATCAGAAAAAGAAGGAAGCCAAAGAGAAAGGTACCTGGGTTCAACTGAAGCGCCAGCCTGCTCCACCCAGAGAAGCACACTTTGTGAGAACAAACGGAAAGGAGCCCGAGCTGCTGGAACCTATTCCCTATGAACTCATGGCGTAATAGGTGCCTCACACTTTGTGAGAAGCAGTGAGAAGGAGCCTGAGGTGCTGGGACGACCTGTTCCCTATGAATTCCTGGCGTAACAGGCATGGCACACTTTGTGAGAAGCAAAGGACAGGACCTTGAGCTGCTGGAACCTATTCCCTGTGAATTCATGGCATAGGAGACAAAACTAATAAAAGCCGCTGGACTCTCAAAAAAAAAAAGAATATGCCATAAGCTTTCTAAAAACTTCAAACAAGACTACATAAGGAAAGAAAACTATATCCTCTCTCACATACAAAGATGGATGCAAATCACTAAATAGCAATCAATTAAAAGAATAATGCACTATGATCAGGTAAGATTTATCCCTGGAATGCAAAAGATAGATTTTTAATGGTGAACAACCAATGTAATTCACTAACTTAGTCATATGATTTAGGAGAGAAATAATTTCAATAGATGCCCAAAGACTCAAATGTGATTATATATGTATATATAATGTAAGTGTGTGTATGTGTGTGTGTGAAAACAAAGAACAAAAAGAAGCTTCCTTAATTTGATAAGGGGTATCTACCCCAAAATATAGCAAGCATAATACTTATTAGAAATATTGTCTTTAAGATCAGGAACAAAACAAGAATGCCCACTGCCACTGGTACTCTAGCTTAGCCAATGGAATTAAATAAGTAAAACCATATTAAGTGGTTTAAACATTGAAAAGTAAAAGACAAACTGCTATTATTTACTCAGGAAATGATAGAAAATTCAAGACAATCAAATGAAAAATTACTATAACTAAGAATAGAATTCAGCAAAATGGCAAGATATAAAATCGACATTAAAAATCAACAACTTTTCTATACATTGCCAT